TTGTATTTTTGTTCTACAAAAATTACAATAATTAGACCGGCATGGTGGCACATACTACTTGCGAGGCTGAGGTGGGAGGATCACTTGAGCCTGGGAGGTCAAGGCTACAGTGAGCTATGACAGTGCCACTGCACTCCAGCCTGGGTAACAGAGTGAGAACTTGCCTCAAAAAAAAAAAAAAGGGCAAAAACAAAAATTTAAAATTTTAAAAGAAAATAGGTCCTCAAACTTGGACAAGTGGGAACAATGTGGAAAATAGCTCCTCAAATCTGGACAAGTGGAAACAACCCAAATGTCCATCAACAGATGAATCGATTAGCAAAATGTGTATTTATGGTGAAATATTATTCAGCCTTAGAAAGCAATGCTCATCATCACTGGCCATTAGAGAGATGCAAATCAAAACTCCATTGAGATACCATCTCACACCAGTTAGAATGGGGATCATTAAAAAATCTGGAGACAACAGATGCTGGAGAGGATGTGGAGAAATAGGAACACTTTTACACTGTTGGTGGGAGTGTAAATTAGTTCAACCATTGTGGAATATAGTGTGGTGATTCCTCAAGGACCTAGAAATAGAAATTCCATTTGACCCAGCCATCCCATAACTGGGTATATATCCAAAGGATTATAAATCGTTCTACTATAAGGACACATGCACACGAATGTTCACTGCAGCACTGTTTACAATAGCAAAGACCTGGAGCCAACCCAAATGCCCATCGATGATAGACTGGACAGGGAAAATGTGGCACATATACACCATGGAATACTATGCAGCCATAAAAAAGATGAGTTTGTGTCCTTTGTAGGGACCTGGATGAACCTGGAAGCCATCATTCTCAGCAAACTGACACAAGAACAGAAAATCAAACACCACATGTTTCACTCATAGGTGGGTGTTGAACAATGAGAACACATGGACACAGGGAGGGGAGCATCACACACTGGGGTCAGTTGGGGGAAAATAGGGGAGAGACAGTGGGGGATGGGGAGTTGGGGAGAGATAGCATGGGGAGAAATGCCAGATATAGGTGATGGGGAGGAAGGCAGCACATCACACTGCCATGTGTGTACCTATGCAGCAATCTTGCATGTTCTTCACATGTACCCCAAAACCTAAAATGCAATTAAAAAAAGCAATGTAATTCTGAGACATGCCACAGTATGTTTAACCTTGGAAACATTCTACTAAGTAGGATAAACCTGACAAAAAAGGACAAATATAGTAGGATTCCACTAACATGAGGACCTAAGATAGGCAAATTCATAGACAGAAAGTAGAACAGAGGTTACCAGGGACTAGGGGGAGCCAGGAATGGGGATAGTTGTTTAATGGGTACAAAGTTTTTGTTTGCAATGGTGAAATAGTTCTGAAAATGAATAGTGGTGACGGCTGCATTGTGAGTATATTAATTGTGAGTACACTTAGAATGGTATAAAAGGTCAATTTTGCTGTGTATATTTTCCCATTAGAAAACCAACTTAACTCTTTCTTAAACACAACTCGATTTTTGTGGTATCAGTTGTAATGTGTAGGGCAGGCACCTCTCTAGAGAAGGGGATTTGCAGCATTCTGAGAAAGAGAATCCTTAGAAGACACTGGGGACAGAAATTTAGGCGAAAGGGTCAGAGGTTTGTAATCAATTTTATTCAGTCATGGATGAACACTGCTGAGAGACCCCTCTGTGCTGGGCCCTTAGCTGAGAACCATGACCACAGAGGTGAGTAAAATAGGATCCCAGCTTTCACACAATTCTCAGTCTAGTGACTGGTGATTGATGAGAAGTGTAGTCATGGTGGGTTCATTGGAACCAGTGGCCGATGCTGCATGAGATGACCTCAGTGTATGGCCTGGGCCAGTGATGCTGGACTTCAGCCATATTTCAGCATCCTGAGGTACAGTGCACCAATACCTCTGCTCCATGTTGAGTCAAAGCAGTTAACACAGCCAAGGTTTTCAGAAGACACTGATGATATCAGTAGCTATTGACTGTTTCCAGCTGGGCAAACAAAGAAGTAAACTTAATAAGTCTTCTAAATTTGTTCTTGCCATGATGATAAATAAGTTGATCTTGATAATGAATGAAATTCTGGCAAATTAATTATAACTTGCCATAATGAGAAATAACTTTATGCTGAGTACAGCGGACACACAAGCCCTTGAGGACACATGCCTGAGGATTCTGATAAGGATATTATGTCTAAATATGTACACGTTTGGACCTACAGTCCAGCTTCGAAACAGTGAAACAGTGGAAGACCTAGTTTCAAATTCAAGGTTTCTTTGAGTAGAAATTCACTTTACCTCTCTTTGCATGGCAATGGGGCCAATCTTCCCTAAGGTGCCCCTTACAAGAAAAGAAATCATGCTGATAAGATTCCAGACTTCAGCAGACATGGGTAAGTAAGGAAGTCTTACAAATGTATTCTAGCCACCTAGTGAGAAATCAGAAATTTAGCAAGTTCACTCACATTCAGGACAGTTGTGTGCACTAAATCAGAGGCCCTGCTACATGAAGAATAGAGCCCTAACAAGGGAAAGTATTTCTTCCCGTCCTAGGACATCACTGCCAACTTCAGGGAAGTGGGAACACAACCACCTGCCTTAGGGTATGGGTTACTTTTGTGCCTGGAATGTGTCTGATATCCTGCTACCTGTACCCATTTCAGGTAGCCTTGGGAGGAGTCTGAATCACTGATGGAATTGGACTGTGCATGGAGATGGTTGAGCAAGATGAGGGTAAGTGCCGGGGCATGGCCAGGTCATACTGGGAGACAATGAGCAGCACTGATGCGGACAAAGATAAAGTCAACAGTTTGTGTTTCAGCATCAAAAACTCAAACCAAGCCAGGCGCGGTGGCTCACGCCTAGAATCCCAGCACTTTGGGAGGCCGAGGCGGGTGGATCACGAGGTCAAGAGATCGAGACCATCCTGGTCAACAAGGTGAATCCCCGTCTCTACTAAAAATACAAAAATTAGCTGTGCATGGTGGTGCTCGCCTGTAGTTTCAGCTACTCGGGAGGCTGAGGCAGGAGAATTGCTTGAACCCAGGAGGCAGAGGTTGCGGTGAGCCGAGATCGTGCTATTGCACTCCAGTCTGGGTGACAACAGTGAAACTGTCTCAAAAAAAGAAAAAAATCAAACAAAAAAGGCATTTGCTTTCATAAGTAATAAGCATTTTTGTATTTACATGAGAATTTAATCTCAAAATAAATCATAAAAATAGTCCAGGGCATAAAACCTAAACCATAGCTCATAGTTATTCTTTCTTAATGGAGGTATCAGTAAAATCTTCTTCATAAAACATACATTGTGGTTATAAAAAGGCAAAAGTTGACCAGGTGCAGTGGCTCATGCCAGCAGTCCCAGCACTTTGGGAGGCCGAGACAGGTGGATCACGATGTCAGGATGTCAAGACCATCTTGGCCAACATGCTGAAACCCTGTTTCTGCTAAAAACACAAAACTTAGCCAGGCATGGTGGCACATGCCTGTAGTCCCAGCTACTTGGGAGACTGAGGCAGGAGAATCACTTGAACCCAGGATGCAGAGGTTGCAGTGAACTGAGATTGTACCACTGCATTTCAGCCTGGTGACAGAGCAAGACTGTCTCAAAAAAAGGAAGGAAGAAAAGCAAAATTCTTAGTGAAAATCATAGGTGTACCTTAGAAGAGAGAATTAAATATAGTCAAGGGAAGACCAAGTCTCATAGTTCTCTTGTATATTCCAAAGTTCCAGGGAAATGCCAGGTAACAGAGGATATTTCCCATGCTGTTAAAGCAAGGTTGCAGACACTAATGAATTCTGGGCCCAATACTCTAGGAGGGCACACCTCTGTCCTGGAAAATGATACAGGAATGAATACTTTTCCTGTGACTCATTCTGGTTATTCATCCAGGATCACAGACACTAAACAATGGAAATATGGCCAAATTCATGATTTGCTAACCCTCTTCTCAGGTTTCTTACCTGACTCTTAGGATAACAGCATTACTTTGAAGCATATGATGAAGATATGCTGTCCAAATATGTGCACAGTTTTGAGCAAAATGCCTGATACAAATTGGTCAACAAACAATTACTGGATGATGATATGAATATTTACTGAATGACAGGGATCCCATGAATAACTGTGGAATAATTGTTGTGATTGCTTTTATTAGCAGTGCTCAAAACTCATCTCTGTGTGACCTTGCAAATAAGCCACATAACTGTGAACCTGCAGCTTCATCAGTTTTAAAATGAAGGAACGTGACAGATTTTCATTCTGCCACAGAATGTCAGGCCTCGCAGACACCAGAACATACATTTACATAAAGCCTTTGATATATTTCCACACAGTATCCCTATAGGTAGTTGGAGGATGGTGGGGGCTGCAGAGAGGCACGCTTTCCAATGGGATTGAGGCAGTCCTTCTTCCTTGACATCCACATGAATGCTGGGCAGCCCAGGGTCACACCCATTGCACCCTCAACTCAGGCAAGCCCAGCAGCCAAACATAGGAGACTTGGGCTACAGAACAGTCTTCCAAATCCCAGGCTCAGAAAACCGAGGTGGAGATGACGGCTGAGAAAGTGAGGGGGTGGTTCAGGGGATCACTCTTCCCTACTCATTCCTCTCATCTCAAATTCACCTTCCATTGCACAGCAACACTGAGGACCACCAACCACCCTTGGCCATCACCTTGATCTTGCCATGTTTGGTTAGTGGGATGCACCCCCACATCAGTGGTGTTAGACCAACTCAGAAAAATATCTGTCAAACAGTGTTTTCGTAAGAACCGCTCATGGCCCTGTTATTTTCAATATATGGAAAAAATGAAATGAAAACAACAAAGTCATACCAGGTTTCCAAGACTTCCCAAGATAGATGGTCACACATGCTTTCAGGAGATCTCTATAGAAAAGGTTTCAATGATGCGACACCTTGAAAAGAGCTCTTCTGAGACTAGAATGACATCTATAAGTGACAAGTATGAGATGTAGTGTTCAGTGACATTAAAAAACAGAATTTAAGGCTGTTTTTTAGAGGAAGCTTTGGACATAGGTATGTCACAGTGGTCTTGATTGTAATGAAAAGCCTCTACTGCCACAAACATTAGTGTACTGGCACATGCCAGTAAGAAAAGTAAATCAGCATAACCATGGGATGCAGCAAGAAGAATATTGAGCCAGGAAAGAAAATATTTTTAAGAAATGAGTTACTCATTGACTTTCTAGTGGATACAGAAAAAACTGCAGAAGACTCAGAGGATATCATGGCAGTGTAATAGATTGATATCTTAAACTTGTGGAAAAGCCTTAAATTCTGTTTTAACATGTGAGAAGGACTCACATGTTTAACATGACTGACTTCATGACTAGCATTAAGGAAGTATCACGTGTTGGGAAACTGTTTCTGCCTTGATGATTTTATACACATAAGAGATGAAAAATGAGGCACATGCTTAGATGTATTGGGAATGAGATGGCACTGTGGCATTGTCACAACGGTACACAAATACTGAAAGTGACTTATAGAGTAATGGTCCCCATCTGTTGTGACCTCTGGTGAGACCAGGAGGCCTGTGTTTTAGCAAACCCTGGGCAGTTGGAATGAAGGGCTCCTAAGATTCCATGACACGGCCAGCTTTTAATTCTGTTATTGCAACAGCAGACGGTTACCTGGGACACTGGCCGCTATCTCTCTCACTCTTGTCAGAGTCTGAGCTACAGGCAGCGCCTTCAGTTCTCAGCTCAGACATTTTCAACCTTGTTTTTGCAGTTAAGGACCTTAGCTAAAGTGCTGTGAGGAGGGATCGAGTTTTTCTCAACAGTAAGTTAAGAATTTGAGTTCCTGACATCCCCCAGTCCTGATGAAATCTATTTGATTTCCAGTTTTTAACCCATCATGTGTTTGCATTTCTTCTCCCAGTCCCTGGCCCTACCTGTGGTGCCCCAAACGTCAGCATGATAGCATCTCGCAGGACGTGCTCCAGGAAGACCACAGAGGCAAACTTTCCAGATACCATCGAGAATTCCTACTCCCAGGGGGAAGAGACCAAACCAAATATCGGAGCCAGCAAAAATAGACTTCTTCTGAGTCAGGTGGCCTACTTCCTGAACTACCAGCTGAAGACCTACAGTAAGTCCTATAGGTTCACCACCACGAAAGTGATGAGTGATGTCCTGTGTTGTCTTGAGAAACTAACCGGTTTCTTCATCAAAATTAATTTCATCCTTCCCATACTTGCAGAAAATAGAAATGGGTATTTTAACATTTTGTTAAAGATGGAAGACAGAGGCCAAAGTATTTAGCAACTTTTCCACCTCTGCAGTAAGGTGGGTGTGGGACTGGGGTTACAATCTTAGCTATTGATCTGACACAGGCATAGAACCACCTGTTTTTCTCAGCAAGTGGCTAAATCCAGGTTCACAGGAATCCTCTCTGTACCATATAAGATCCTGCAGACAAGTAGCATCTAGTCTGTTGGTCTAAATGTCTGAGGCTACTGAACTTCCATTCAGTTCTGGTTTCTGCTGAGGCCCAGTAGGCAAAGCTGTGTTCTGGGGACACTGGGGGAAACACGGTGATGGCACACAGTACCAGCTGTCGGGAACTTAAGGGGGACCCTGCTCCTAATAGAACCTGTGTTATCTGTAAGTGGGTCCATCAAGAGCAGGGAATAACCTGGTACTGGTGCGGCAACCTCCCAATCAGCTGGGATCCCCGGTGGGAACCACCACACTTGACTAACTTTTGTATTTTCAGTAGAGGCAGGGTTTCACCTTGTTGGCCAGGCTGGTCTTGAACTCCTGAGGTCAAGGGATCCACCCTCCTGGGCCTCCTAAATTGCTGGGATTCCAGGCTTGAGCCACCATGGTGTCTCCACAGATCCTTTTTTCAGTAAAGGTTGTTAGAATTCATCTCTCGGTCCAGTCTCCTGTATAAATTTCTCTAACCATTCATTGACCATGATATATGATGAGATAAATCAATATTACAGCAATGCTTCTGGAAAGTATCCAGGGCAATTTTTGTAAGATTTTTGGGGAAAAAGTTTTAATTTTTTGCCTGATTAAGGTCTACTGGATGAGGGAGATTTTATCCCATGGATCAAAAGCAGGCTCATCTACTTCTAGGGCAACTTAGTCTAGGGCCCGTTAGACACTCCTGTCAGAATACCACATTCTTACACTGAGAATATTTTACATCCTTGTGCTATGAGTGGGCACTGATTTGGTCTTGTGTGAAGTGTGATTTGCTTAATGAGACCTGCTCTTCTAAATTTGTTTACAGGAGATCGAAAAGATCACGATGAAGAACAGAAATGCAGAGACAGCAAAAATAAACTTCTTATGAGTCAAGTGGCCTACTACCTGGGCTGCCGACTGAAGACGGAAGGTAAGTTCTCTAGGTTCACCATCATGAAAGTGATGAAGTGTCCTGTTTTGTCTCTAAGAAACAATACACTGTCTTCTTGAAAGTTCATTTCATCATGCCCGTACTTCCAGGAATGTAGCAATGGGTATTCTAACATTTTGTTAATGATGGAAGACAGAGGCCAAAGCAATTAGCAACTTTTCCACGTCTGCAGTAAGGCGGGTGTGGGACTAGTATTAATATCCCAGCTATTGATTCCCGATACAGGGACAGAACCACCTGTTTTTCTCAGCAAGAAGCCAAATCATGTTTACAGGAATCCTCTCTACCATATAAGATTCTGGAAAACTTATAAGCAAGATAAAGGTAGAAGAGTTTATTTCATAGTTTCAAGGTGACTGACTAGCTAAGACAAGTTGAATTTAAGGAGACCAAGAGTGGAGATGAGAAGAGTAAAAGCGGGGAAACAACATCTTCAAATCGATAGGCAGTGCTGTCAGTGACATCCCTCAGTTCCGATTAAACCAATTTGATGTCACCAGTTTCTAACGCATCGTGTGTTTGGGTTTCTTCTCCCCAGTCCCTGGCTATCTGTGTTCTGCCCCAAACGTCAGCACAGCGGCATCTGGCAAGCCTCCTTCCAGAGAAAACACAGAGGTGAACGTTGCGGAAGGCATTGAGAAATCCTGCTCCCAACAGGAAGAAAACAAACTGACTTTCAGAGCCAGCAGAAATAGACTTCTTCTGAGTCAGGTGGCCTACTTCCTGAACTACCAGCTGAAGACCTACAGTAAGTTCTACAGGTTCACCACCACGAAAGTGATGAATAATGTCCTGTCTTGTTTTGAGAACCTAACCACTTTCTTAATCAAAATTAGTTTCATCCTCTTCATCCTTGCCGAAAATAGAAATGAGTATTTTACCATTTTGTTAAAGATGTAAGGCAGAGGCCAAAGTATTTAGCAACTTTTCCATGTCTGCAATAAGGTGGGTGTGGGACTGGGATTAAAATGCTAGCAATTGGCCGGGCGCAGTGGCTCATGTGTATAATCCCAGCACTTTGGGAGGCGGAGGCAGGTGGATCACAAGGTCAAGAGATCGAGACCATCCTGGTCAACAAGGTGAAACACCGTCTCTACTTAAAATACTTAGCCGGGTATAGTGGCGTGCGCCTGTAGTCCCAGCTACTCAGGAGGCTGAGGCAGGAGAATTGCTTGAACCCAGGAGATGGAGGTTGCGGTGAGCCGAGTTTGTGCCATTGCACTCCAGCCTGGGTAACAAGAGCGAAACTCCATCTTAAAAAAAAAAAAATCCCAGCTATTGATTTCTTACACAGGTACAGAACCACCTGTTTTTCTCAGCAAAGGGTGAAATCATGTTTACAGGAATCCTCTCTACTGTATAAGATTCTGCAGACCAGTAGCATCTAGTCTGTTGGTCTAAATGTCTGAGGCTAGTGAACTTCTACTTGGTTCTGGTTTCTGCTGAGCCCCAGTAGGCAAAGGTGTGTTCTGGGGCACCAGGGGAATGCAGTGATAGCACATGGTACCTCTTGTGAGGAGCTTGAAGAGGACCCTGCTCCTAATAGAACCTGTGGTATCTGTAAGTGGCACCATCAAGAACAGGGAGTACCCTGGTACTGGTGCCTCAGCCTCCCAATGAGCTGGGATCCCTGGTGGGCACCAAAGCACCTGGCTAATTTTTGTGTTTTTAGCAGAGGCGGTGTTTCACCATGTTGGCCAGGCTGGTCTTCAACTCCTGAGGTCAAGTGATGTGCCCGTCTGGGCCTCCTAAAATGCTGGAATTCCAGGCAGGAGACACCGGGCTGCCTCCACAGATTATTTTTAAGTAAAGGTTGTTAGAATTCATCCCTTGGTCCTGTCTCCTATTATAAATTTCCCTAACCATTCATTGAGCATGATATGTGATGATATAAATCAGTATTGCAGCAATGCTTCTGGAAAGTTGTTAGGGCGATTTTTGAAGATTTTGGGGACAAAGTTTTAATTATTTGCACTGACTTAGGTCAGAGGATATGTGATTAAGATCTACCAGATGAGGGAGACTTTGTCCCATGGATCTGAAAAGCAGGCTCATCTACTTCTCAGGTGATTTAACCTAGGGCCTGTTAGAACATTTTCATCAGAATATCACATTCTTACACTGAGAATATTTTACATCCTTGTGCTATGACCGAACACTGATTTGGTCTTGGGTGAAGTGTGATTTGCTTAATGTGACCTGCTCTTCTGAATTTGTTTACAGGAGATAGAAAAGATCACAATGAAGAACAGAAATGCAGAGACAGCAAAAATAAACTTCTTATGAGTCAAGTGGCCTACTACCTGGGCTGCCGGCTGAAGACGGAAGGTAAGTTCTCTGGGTTCACTGTCTCGAAAGTGATGAACTGTCTTGTGTATGAGAAATGATACATTCACTTCTTCAAAGTTAATTTCATCCTTCCCATACTTGTAGGAAAATAGCAAAGGGTATTTTAACATTTTGTTAAAGATGGAAGACAGAGGCCAAAATATTTAGCAGCTTTTCCACATCTGCAGTAAGGCGGGTGTGGGACTAGGGTTAATATCCCAGCTATTGATTCCTGACACAGGCACAGAACCACCTGTTTTTCTCAGCAAGAGGGTAAATCATGTTTACAGGAATCCTCTCTAGCATATAAGATCCTGCAAAACGTAGAAGCAAGATAAAGGTAGAAATGTTTATGTCCTGGCTTCAAGGTGACTGAGTAGCTAAGACAAGTTGACTTTAAGGAGATCAAGAGTGGACATGAGAAGAGTAAAAGTGGGGAAACAACGTCTTCAAATCAATAGGCAGTACTGTCAGTGACATCCCTCAGTCCCGATTCAAGCAATTTGACGTCACCAGTTTCTAACGCATCGTGTGTTTGGGTTTCTTCTCCCCAGTCCCTGGCTATCTGTGTTCTGCCCCAAACGTCAACACGGTGGCATCAGGCAAGCCTCCTTCCAGAGAAAACACAGAGGTGAACGTTGCAGAAGGCGTTGAGGTATCCTGCTCCTGGCAGGAAGAAAACAAACCGACTTCCAGAGCCAGCAGAAATAGACTTCTTCTGAGTCAGGTGGCCTACTTCCTGAACTACCAGCTGAAGACCTACAGTAAGTTCTATAGGTTCACCACCACGAAATTGATTAATAATGTCCTGTCTTGTTTTGAGAACCTAACCTCTTTCTTTGTCAAAATTAATTTCATCCTTCTTATACTTGTAGGAAATAGAAATGGTTATTTTAGCGTTTTGTTTAAGATGGAAGGCAGAGGCCAAAGTATCTAGCAACTTTTCCACGTCTACCGTAACATGGGTGTGGGACTGGGGTTACAATCCCTGCTATTGATCTCTGACACAGGCACAGAACCACCTGTTTTTTTCAGCAAATGGCTAAATCATGTTTACAGGAATCCTCCCTGTACCATATAAGATCCTGCAGACAAGTAGCATCTAGTCTGTTGGTCTACGTGTCTGAGGCTACTGAACTTCGATTTGGTTCCAGTTTCTGCTGAGGCCCAGTAAGCAAAGCTGTGTACTGGGAACACTGGGGGAAACACAGTGATAGCACACAGTACCTCCTGTGAGGAGCTCGAGGAGGACCCTGCTCCTAATAGAACCTGTGGTATCTGTAAGTGGCACCCACCATCAAGAGCAGGGAGTACCCTGCTACTGGTGCCTCAGCCTCTCCATTAGCTGGGATCCCTGGTGGGCACCAAAGCACCCAGCTTATTTTTGTAATTTTAGTAGAGGTGGGGTTTCACCATGTTGGCCAGGCTGGTCTTGAAATCTTGAGGTCAAGTGATCTGCCCTTCTGGGCCTCCTAAAAGGCTGGAATTCCAGTCTTGAGACACCGGGCTGGCTCCACAGATTCTTTTTTAAGTAAAGGTTGTTAGAATTCATGCCTTGGTCCAGTGTCTTATATAAATTTCTCTAAGTATTCATTGACCATGATATATGCTGAGATAAATCGGTATGGCCGCAATGCTTCTGGAAAGCAGTTATTGCAATTTTTGAAGACTTTGGGGAAAAAAAGTTTTAATTATTTGCACTGACTTAGGTCAGAGAATATGTGATAAAGATGGACGAGATCAGGGAGATTTTGTTTCACGGATCTGAAAAGCAGGCTCATTTACTTCTGAGGCGACTTAATCTAGGGACCAGTAGAACATTCCTGTCAGAATATTACATTCTTACACTGAGAATATTTTACGTCCTTGCGCTATGACCCAACACTGAATTTTGTTTTTTCTCTGAGACGGAGTTTCGCTCTTGTTACCCAGGCTGGAGTGCAATGGCGCGACCTCGGCTCACCGCAACCTACACCTCCTGGGTTCAGGCAATTCTCCTGACTCAGCCTCCTGAGCTGGGATTACAGGCACGCGCCACCATGCCCAGCTAATTTTTTGTATTTTTAGTAGAGACGGGGTTTCACCATGTTGACCAAGATGGTCTCAATCTCTTGACCTCGTGATCCACCCGCCTCAGCCTCCCAAAGTGCTGGGATTACAGGCGTGAGCCATCACGCCCGGCACTGATTTGGTTTTGTGTGAAGTGTGATTTCCTTAATGTGACCTGCTCTTCTGAATTTGTTTACAGGAGATCGAAAAGATCACGATGAAGAACAGAGAGGCAGAGACAGCAAAAATAAACTTCTTATGAGTCAAGTGGCCTACTACCTGGGCTGCCGGCTGAAGACGGAAGGTAAGTTCTCTAGGTTCACTGTCACGAAAGTGCTGAACAATGTTCTGTCTTCTTTCTGAGAATTGATACACTCTCTTCAGAGTTAATTTCATCCTTCCCATACTTCTAGGAAAATAGCAATGGGTATTTTAACATTTTGTTAAAGATGGAAGACAGAGGCCAAAGCATTTAGCAACTTTTCCACGTCTGCAGTAAGGCGGGTGTGGGACTAGGGTTAATATCCCAGCTATTGATTCCCGACACAGGCACAGAACCACCTGTTTTTCTCAGCAAGAAGCTAAATCATGTTTACAGGAATCCTCTCTGTACCATATAAGATCCTGCAGAACTCATAAGCAAGATAAAGGTAGAAGTGTTTATGTCCTGGCTTCAAGGTGACTGAGTAGCTAAGACAAGTTGACTTTAAGGAGATCAAGAGTGGAGATGAGAAGAGTAAAAGTGGGGAAACAACGTCTTCAAATCGATAGGCAGTGCTGTCAGCGACATCCCTCAGTTCTGATTAAAGCAATTTGAAGTCACCAGTTTCTAATGCATCGTGTGTTTGGGTTTCTTCTCCCCAGTCCCTGGCTATCTGTGTTCTTCCCGAAACATCAGCAAGGTGACATCTGGCAGACCTCCATCCAGAAGAAACACTGAGTTGAACATTCCGGAAGGCATTGAGAAATCCTGGTCCCAGCAGGAAGATAAACCGAATATCGGAGGCAGCAAAAATAGACTTCTTATGAGTCAGGTGGACTACTCCTTGAACTGTCGGCCGAAGACATGCAGTAAGTTCTATAGGCTGACCACCACGAAAGTTATGAATGATGTCCTGTCTTGTCTCGAGAAACTAACCGCTCTCTTCATCAAAATTAATTTCATCCTTCCCATTCTTGTAGAAAATAGCAATGGGTATTTTTAACATTTAGTTAAAATGGAAGACAGACACCAAAATATTTAGCAACATTTCCACATCTGCAGTAAGGTGGGTGTGGGACTATGGGACTGTGGGACTGGGGTTACAATCATAGCTATTGATTCCTGACTCAGGCACAGAACCACCTGTTTTTCTTAGCAAGAGGCTAAATCCATGTTTACAGGAATCCTCTCTGTACCGTGTAAGATTTTACAGACAAATAGCATCTAGTCTGCGGGTCTAAATGTCTGAGGCTACTGAACTTCCGGGCAGTTCCGGTTTCTGATAAAGGTCCAGTAGGCAAAGATGTGTTCTGGGTACCCTGGGGGAAACATGGTGATACCAAACAGTACCCACTGTGAGGAGCTTAAACGGGACCCTGCTCCTAATAGAACCTATGCTTTCTGTAAGTGGCACCATCAAGAGCAGGGAGTACTGAGGTATTGGTGCCTCAGCCAGCCAATTAGCTGGGATCCCCGGTGGGCACCACCACATCTTGCTAATTTTTGTGTTTTATGTAGAGGCAAGGTTTCACCACGTTGGCCAGGCTGGTCTTGAACTCCTGAGGTCAGGTGATCTGCGTGCCTGGGCCTCCTAAGTTGCTTGGATTCCAGATATCAGCCACCATGCTGGCTCCACAGATTCTTTTTCAGTAAAGGTTGTTAAATTCATCTGTCGGTCCGGTCTCCTATATAAATTTCTCTAACCATTCATTGGCCATGATATATGATGAGATAATTAGTATTGCAGCAACCCTTCTGGAAAGTAGTTAGGGCAATTTTTGAAGGTTTGGGGAGGAAAAGTTTTAATTGTTTGCACTGACTTAGGTCAGAGGACACACGATTCATATCTACCAGATGAGAGAGGTTTTGTCCCATGGGTCTTAAAAGCAGGCTCACCTACTTCTCAGGTGACTTAATCTAGGGTCCAATAGAACATTCCAGTCAGAATATCACATTTATACACTGAGAATATTTTATGTCCTTGTGCTGTGACTGGACACTGATTTGGTCTTGTGTGAAGTGTGATGTGTTCAATGTGAGCTGCTCTTCTAAATTTGTTTACAGAAGGACAAGATCGTGAAATAGAGAAATACAGAGAAAGCAAAAATAAAGTTCTTATGAGGCAAGCGGCCTACTATATACGCTGCCGGCTGAAGATTGAAGGTAAGGAAGTTCTATAGGTTCACCATCATCATGAAAGTGCTGAACGATCTTCTGTCTTTTCTCTGAGAAACTGAACACTCTTCATCAGAATTTATTGAATTTTTCCCATACTTCTAGGCAAATATAAATGGGTACCTTAGCATTTTATTAAAAATAGATCCGTCGGTCCAGTCTCTTCTGTAAATTTCTCTAACCATTAGCTGACCATCACATATGATGAGATTAAATCAGTATTGCTGCAATGTTGTCCCGCAGTCAAGTGGCCTCTAGTCTGTTGTTCTGAATGTCTGAGGCTGCGGAACTTCCATTCGGTTTCGGTTTCTGCTGAGGCCCAGTAGGCAAAGCAGTGTTCTGGGGACACTGGGGTAAACACGGTGATAACACACAGTACCCGCTGTAAGAGGACTCTGCTTTTTACACAACCTGTGGTATCGGTAAGTGGCACCATCAAGAGCAGGGAGTACCCTTGTATTCATGACTCGGCCTGTTAGTAAGCTGGGATCCCCGGTGGACACCATCACACCGCTAGTTTTTGTATTTTTAGTAGAGGTGGGTTTTCACCATGTTGGCCAGGCTGGTCTTGACTTCCTGAGGTCAAGTGATCTCCCTTCCTGGGCCTCCTAAATTGCTCCAATTCCAGGCATGAGTCACTGTGCTGGCTCCACAGATTCTTTTCTATGTAAAGCTTGTTAGAATTCATCCGTCAGTCCATTCTCCTCTATAAATTTCTCTAACCATCATATATGACGAGATAAATCAGTATTACTGCAATGCTTCTGGAAAGTAGTTAGGGCAATTTTTGAAGATTTTGGAGACAAAGTTTTAATTGTTTGTGCTGACTTAGGTGAGAGGATAAGTGATTAAGATCTAGCAGATAAGGGAGATTTTGTCCCATGGATCTGAAAAGCAGGCTCATCTACTTCTAGGGTGACCTAATCTAGGGACCAGTAGAAATTCCCTTCAGAATTTCACATTCTGAAACGGAGAGTATTTCTCATCCTTGTACTATAACTAGACACTGATTTGGTCTTGTGTGAAGTGCGATTTGCTTAATGTGACCTGCTCTTCTGAATTTGTTTACAGAAGATCGGAGATGTCACGAGGAGGAACGGAAATACAGAGACAGCAAAAATAAACTTATGAGTCTAGACTACCCGGGCTGCAGGCTGAAGACGGAAAGTAAGTTTCATAGGTTAGCCGTCACCAAAGTGCTGAACAATGTTCTGTGTTTCCTGTGAGAAACTAAAGGCTCTGTTCATCAGAATTAATTTCATTTTTACCATACATCTAGGAAAATATAAATGGGTATTTTAACATTTTGTTAAAGGTGGACGAGAGAGGCCAAAGTTATGTAGCAACTTTTCCACATCTGCAGTAAGGTGGGCGTGGGACTGAGGGTAAAGTCTCAGCTGTTGATTTCTGACACAGGCACAGAACCACCTGTTTTTCTCAGGAAGAGGCTAAATCATGTTCGCAGGAATCCTCTCTGTACCACCTAAGATCCCGCAGACAAGTAGCATCTAGCCTGTTGTTCTAAATGTCTGAGGCTGCTGAACTTCATTCGGTTCCGGTTTCTGCTGAGGCTCAGTAGGGAAAGCTCTGTTCTGGGGGACATGCGATGGTAGCACACTATACCTGCTACAGGGAGCTTAAAGAGGACTCTGCTCCTTACATACCCTGTGGTATCTGTAAGTGGCATCATCAAGAGCAGAGATTACTCTGGTCAGAGGGACGTCCTGCTGTCTTTGCAGAGGCTCTCATTGGTAAAGAGGAAGAATGATGGCACCCATGACTTTGTGAAGGCAGCAGTGCATAGAGGAGGGACCCTGGGCCAGTCTCCTGAGCTCCCTCCAAGTTGCTTCTTTTGTTTGTTACTCAGTTTTGTCATCTGTTCGTAGGATACTATAATAATGCCTACCTCTGTCAATTGCTGCACTGAATTAGATGGCCTATTTCTTGTAACTCTCCCGGGACAGTTGTTGGCACAGAGTAAACACTGTCTATTAGTTTCTTTTTTTTTTGAGTTGGAGTTTTGCTGTTGTTTCCCAGACTGGAGTGCAATGGCATGATCTCGGCTCACCGCAACCTTTGCCTTCTGGGTTCAAGCAATTCTCCTGCCTCAGCCTCCCGAGTAGCTGGGACTATAGGTGCACACCACCATGCCCAGCTAATTTTTGTATTTTTAGTAGAGACGGGGTTTCACCTTGTTGACCAAGATGGTCTCGATCTCTTGACCTCATGATCCACCCGCCTCGGCCTTCCGCAGTGCTGGGATTATAGGCGTGAGCCACCACGCCCGGCCAACACTGCCTGTTAGTTCTTCATTCTACTGTGTCTAGCATAAGGGAAACTTTATTAGTCTTGGTGCATATTTCTTTTATGGCCTTAGGAGAGGCTCCAGACCTCCATAATTCTGCAATGACGGTTTTATCAGTGGTGTTTTCTTCCACGAAACATATGTGGCCATGACATGACTAGGACTTTCTGAATGAGAACACAGATGGGAAACCCATGGATTTGGAGGTCACCGTATTGCAAATGTCCCTCCTTCCGTGATGGATTGTGGTCTTTGGAACAGGAGGCAGCATCTGTCCAGTTGTAAAGGACAGGAAGGAAGCTGTGGCAGGAGGGCAGTTGTTGGAGTGGAAAGAGCTCTGGACTAAGAATGAAGGTCCCAGGCTGTATCTTCAGCAGTGTTCTTAGGAACTGTCAGGGAGCAATTGATTTCTTCTTCCTGACTTTCTCTGCCTCCATCTGCAAAGGCAGGTACATTTCTCTCTCCCCATCTGCAAAGGCAGACATCTTGCAGTGTCTGAAGCATTCAAATGTGTGAGCACTTATGACCGCTTATCACAATGAGATAAAGCCCCTTGCTGTGTGGTGTTGGAGAAAGCACTTGATGTGTGGGCATTTGGTGGTAGGAAGTGGTTCAGATAGGAGCATTCCCCATGGAGAGAATGTCCCTGAATAACATAGCAGAAGCCACTTGGAGGGCCTGTGAAGTCACCTGATGTGCAGAGGATTGTACAAGTTTGTTTATCCTCTCCTAAGAGAAAGAAATAGGTTGTAAATATGAGCTGTGACGGGACGCCAAGCCTGTCCCTGGGAATCAGATCTGTGTCGGGATGGCGGGGACAGCTGCCAAAGTCCAGAGAAAGGCTGCAGAAGCCTCCAGTGATGTGGGAGCAGAAGGTCTTTTCAACATTTGACCTCATCTTGACGGTGAGCCTCCTGATCCGAAATGCATTGCCTGGTGGATCAGGAAACCATGCCAGGGCATTTTGTTAAAGAGAAAACATGAGAGCTTTCAGTAGAACAGGGACCCAAACACAGATGTTCATGTCCCTGCGCACATTGGGCTGACTGTCCCTGCAGAGTGTGAAATGGGAAATAACTGAACAAACACATCTGTACTTGCAGAAAACGACAAAGATGAGGATGAAGATGTTCATGTCGCAGAGGCTGAGAAAATCCAGGAATCACGTGCCCCCAGGTAACACTGAAGAAGCCGGAGCAAGTAATGGGTGGTAAAGTATGGAAAAGGTCTAGAAGCACACCTTCTCTGGCGTCTCCCATGGGCCAAAAGCCTGTGTTCCCTTGGCCACAATATGTTCAATTCAACCCAACTTAGACACAGGGTGTGGCAGCTGTTGTGGTTCTTTGTATGTGCTGAGTGCCGTGTCTGAATTATACAGGGATAACTGAGTCTTTTTTCTTCTCGGCTCCTTTCTGCCCAGTGTAAGGAATACCAGCTGCTGTCTTTCTCTCCGGTTCCCATGGCAGCCATGCTGTGTTGCAGAGAGGACAGTGTTGTGGGTGATTTGTGGCACGTGTATAGATTTTAATTTCTGACTCCTCCCAAGATGGGAACCTGCAATCAGATGAGCCAGGTGAACTCAGCAAACAGGGATTTCCTGGTTTTGCCTGTTCTCCCCACTGTGTTTAAACCCAGGGAGAGACACATATCTGCTTTCTGCCCATTTGTTGTGAGTGTGTTTGCTAGGATTTGTGAAGAGAAGAAATTCACAACATAGACATATTATATCAAAATACTGGAAAAAGGAGGCCCTTAATACACCAGATCTGGGTGTCTGAAGTGCCTCAAGAGCTCTGTCCACTTGAATGCCGCATGTAAAATTCAACACAACTTACGCGAGGTGGTTGAAGCCCCGTGTTAGTTCTCGTGCTGCAAGTCGTGATGAGAGTTTACAGGGAGAGTCTGGGTGGCCTGCAGTGGCTCATCTGTGGCACATGCACTGAGCACATGCTGCTCATTTGTGCTCTGTCCCCAGGGTAGTCACCCTCTACCCTGCATTTAGAAGTGATAGTTTTTTTTCTCTTGAAGGAAAAATGCCTTTGCTTTCTGTGACCACTCCATTCTGACTTCCATCAGATCAGCTGGGAGACTTTGTTGTCTAATCCGTGTTGGTTTAATCTTCTGTCATCCCTGTCCTGCCTGGCTCATCAGGAATCTGCAGGAGTCTGTGGAGGAGGAAGCCCCCCAGGAGTCCTGGGATGACGATGATTCGACTCTCTCAATTCCTCCTGGCACATTTGCCTTCAATGAGCTTTACAGGACCAACTTGCACTCATTAGAGGAACAGCAGGTCAACTTGGCTCATGACATAGACAGTGAGTACTCTGTTGTGAAAGTGGTAAAGCTCCACTTTGTGTCCCAGATAGACCCCATAGTCTTTGTGCATTGTTCCCCTGGCCGCGCTGAGAGTTGTCATCACTGTGGGCTGAGCCTATTCATCAGTGCAGATTTCAGTCACTCCGGATTCCAGTCTGAAGCATGGGCATGGGGTGGGTCAGTGAGCTTTGCTCTCTCTCTAGTCTCAGTCCATGCCCGTGGCACCCTGGACCAACTGTCAGGACGTTGAAACCCAAGGCGGCTGTTGCAAACTCACACCAAGCTATGCAGCACATGCCCATGAGTTGTCTGTCAGTCTGAATTAAATGTCTCTTGCCAGCTACCAAGTTCCTCATGAGTTTTGTTTCACAAGCATGTCTGTGAGGTTCTTTCCTGTTTGTACAAACTTGGCATAACTTTTTGTACAAACTTGGGATAAAGGGATAATGGTCTACCAGAATAGGGACGTTTCACCATTGGTTCTGAGACACAAACCAAGGAATCTCTATCATGATTGGCCTTGAGACCTCCTGAAGTCTCTCTCTCATGTTATCCTGTTCTCAAGCTGAGGAGTCTGAGGTCCCTGTGCAGGGATTAGAGAGTGGACTGTTATGGGTGTAGGGCAATGGCTAACTTTGTCCCTATCTGAATTTATTGCAGAGATTAAAAAGGACCAAGAAGAGGAAGAAGACCAAGGCCCACTGTGCCCCAGGTAACTTTGAGCAACTGTGAACAGCTAATTTTGTGTTGACACCTGGAGACGCCAGGTCCACGGAAAACAGAGTGGGCTGACAATATCGATACCATCTTTTCAATGAAGCCTGAAGTATTCCTCCAAACGTTGCTGTTGGTTTTCATTGCAGTAGATACTTAGGTTTCCTTCCCATTTACTAACTGCTGTGGGTTGACCATACTTGTTTTTATGATCAGTGTACGCTGTGTGTCCTGAGGGTACTGACTCAGAGTGTCCTTTTACTCCCTCATCAGTGTGTCACCTGGATGGTTCACTGAGCTTACTTTCTCTCTCTCTCTCTCTCTCTGTCTCTTTTATTCTTTTCTCCCCTACTCTTGTTCATCCCAGCATAAGGCAATAGTTTGTTACGTCATTAGTAGATCTATGTTTTTTCTTTATCAACCACTTTCTTGTGCTACCCATGAAATCTAGTTGGGGCTCTGCGGTGTCTTATTTTCCCTGACTTATTCTTTGGTTTTTCCTCCTTTTTTAGGCTCAGCATGGAGCTGGTGGAAGCAGAAGAGCCTGAAGTCTTCTGGTACTCACTGGATATATTGTATTCAACATATACAGCTTATCTTGAGTTTTATTACACATGCCAGGCTTACACATATGCCATTTTTTTATATGCAGAAGAGCATGTTCGCTTGACTTTGGACATGGACAGTAGGTTTCTTACTATGACGGTGATAGGACTCCACCTGGTCTCCCGGATAGGGGTCATATTCCCACACTAAGACAACGTGTCACACGGGACTCTGCCAGTGCAGAGTATGAACCACGCCATGTTCTTGCTGAAAACACTTAGCCCGAGTTTCATAGCCTGAGGTAATCTCCAGACGACTTCAGAATGTAGAACAGTGAGCGGCACAGCTGACCTGTCTCCTTCAGACAGCCCATGTCACCACAAATCACACAACTGAAAGGAGAAGAGACGTTTTGGGTTGAAAAAGAGTAAAAGGAGAATGTAGCTACATTTCTTTAGTTCTTTTGAACCCAAAGTGTCTCCTCACCTTTTTGTTGTTGTCATTGATGATGGGGACATGGGCTTGTTTGTAGAGGACAGGTCAGCTGTCCGGCTCAATGGTCTGTACCCTGAAGTTGTCTGAAAATGTCCTCATGCTTAAATTCAGCCTAAGTGTTTTTCCGGGAACACTGCAGGGTCAATGCTACCTCACCCATCTGCAGGTAGAGAAGGTCCCGTGTGTCTGCCACCATGATCGTGATACCAGGACTTTTCCACCATTTGTCTATCACCATGATTGTGACGCCAGATCTGTACCTTTCAGAGACACCTTATTTATGCGGATATATATATTTATTTAGAGACACCTTATTTATACGGATATATATATTTATTCAGAGACACCTTATTTATACGGATATATATATTTAGAGACACCTTATTTATACAGATATATATATATTTATATGAAAGTAATTGGAAAAATGGTTTTTAAAAGTATTAATATCCTGTATTCAAATGATCATCCCTCAACATTTTATTATTCATTAATCATCCCTGGCTGTGTCAATTATTGTATTTACATCTCTACACTGGAAATTTTTCATTATTACTGTATCTTTGCTTTTGCTGGTTTCTGTTGTTGAACCAAAAAAATTCCCTGCCTGCATTTCAATTTTTGCCAAAGTTAATTTTAATCTGTATAATGAAAATATTTTTTCTTTAAGATAAGACTGTGAGCACATAAGGCCACAGCAAAACAGAGCCTTTGTTTGCTAATTTTTAAGCCTTTGTTAATTTCTGGCTGATGAGAGAGGTAGTTTATTTAATTAGCTGGTAATATCTATTTAAGTGAACAGCCAGAGAAATGTCTATCAGACTAAGGATGTGCAAAGCCCACACCGTTCTCTTTGAGTCTTTTAAACTATTTCAGAAGAGAAGGGAATAGGCAGATTCCACATATGTGGACAGGAAGGAGAATACGCTAAAAGACACAAACAACCGTTGCCCAAAACAGAATAGAAAATCCATTAAAATGCATGAAATATTTTCTCATGAAATGTAATCTCTCTAAACTTAGCCATTATATGAAAGTCAATTCTTAATATGCCACACTGCATTGACTGTTGACGTTCATAAGAATTCATTTCCATGTTTGTTATTTGAAAAAGCAAAAGGACTGTAATCCTTTCTTTTCTTTGCCATGATCATTTTAAGATTGAGGATTTTTTTCCAAAATAAAATTAAAGATTTTAAAGATTGAAAATTGACATTAAAATTTATCTTCTCAAAGCAATGATGTGTAACGCAGGCTGTCTTATTCCTGTTTGTAGTGTAAGTGTCAGGTGCTCATTTAACCATTCTTTAAATGTTTCAAATTACTGGGAACAAACCACTTTCCAGGGTGGTTTGTTTCTTTTGTTTTCGTTTTTTTTGTTTTGTTTTTTTTTGGGGTACATGAGCAGAGCATGCAAGACAGTTGCGTAGGTACACACATGGCAGTGTGTTTTGCTTCCTTTCTCCCCTTCACCCACATTAGGCATTTCTTCCCAGGTTATCCCTCCCCACCTCCCCCTCCCACTGGCCCTCCCCTTTTCCTCCCAATAGACCCCAGTGTTTAGTACACCCCTCCCTGTGTCCATGTGTTCTCATTTTTCATCACCCGCCTATGAATGAGAATATGCGGTGTTTCATTTTCTGTTCTTGTGTCAGTTTGCTGAGGATGATGTTCTCCAGATTCATCCATGTCCCTACAAACGACACAAACTCATCATTTTTGATTGCTGCATAATATTCCATGGTGTATATGTGCCACATTTTTCCAATCCAGTCTATTATCAATGGGTATTTGGGTTGATTCCAGGTCTTTGCTATTGTAAACAGTGCTGGAATGAACATTCGTGTACATGTGTCCTTATAGTAGAATGATTTATAGTCTTTTGGATATATACCCAGTAATGGGATTGCTGGGTCAAATGGAATTTCTATTTCTAAGGCCTTGAGGAATCGCCACACTGTCTTCCACAATGGTTGAACTAATTTACACTGCCACCAACAGTGTAAAAGTGTTCCTTTTTCTCCACATCCTCTCCAGCATCTGTTGTCTCCAGATTTTTTAATGATCGCCATTCTAACTGGCGTGAGATGGTATCTCAATGTGGTTTTGATTTGCATCTCTCTGATGACCAGTGACGATGAGCATTTTTTCATATGATTGTTGGCCTCATATATGTCTTCTTTCGTAAAGTGTCTGTTCATATCCTTTGCCCACTTTTGAATGGGCTTGTTTGTTTTTTTCCTGTAAATCTGTTTGAGTTCTTTGTAAATTCTGGATATCAGCCCTTTGTCAGATGGGTAAACTGCAAAAATTTTTTCCCATTCTGTTGGTTGCCGATTCACTCTAGTGACTGTTTCTTTTGTCGTGCAGAAGCTGTGGAGTTTCATTAGGTCCCATTTGTCTATTTTGGCTTTTGTTGCCAATGCTTTTGGTGTTTTGTTCATGAAGTCCTTGCCTACTCCTATGTCCTGGATGGTTTTGCCTAGATTTCCTTCTGGGGTTTTTATCGTGCCAGGTCTTATGTTTAAGTCTTTAATCTCTGGAGTTAATTTTAGTGTAAGGTGTCAGAAAGGGGTCCAGTTTTGCTTTCTGCATATGGCTAGCCAATTTTCCCAACACCATTTGTTAAACAGGAATCCTTTCCCCATTGCTTGTTTTTGTTGGTTTATCAAAGATTGTATAGTTGTAGATATGTTGTGTTGCCTCTGGTGCCTCTGTTTTGTTCCATTGGTCTATATCTCTGTTTTGGTACCAGTACCATGCTGTTTTGATTACTTTAGCCTTGTAGTATAGTTTGAAATTTGGTAGTGTGATGCCCCCCGCTGTGTTCTTTTTGCTTAGAATTGACTTGGCTATGCAGGCTCTCTTTTGGTTCCATACGAAGTTCATGGTGGTTTTTTCCAGTTCTGTGAAGAAAGTCAATGGTAGCTTGATGGGCATAGCGTTGATTCTGTAAATTACTTTGGGCATAGCCATTTTCACGATATTAATTCTCCTATCCATGAACGTGGAATGTTTCTCCATCTGTTTGTGTCCTCTCTGATTTCATTGGTTTGTAGTTCTCCTTGAAGAGGTCTCTTACGTTCCTTGTGAGTTGTATTCCAAGGTATTTTATTCTTTTTGTAGCAATTGTGAATGGCAGTTCGTTCTTGATTTGGCTTTCTTTAAGTCTGTTATTGGTGTATAGGAATGCTTGTGATTTTTGCACATTGATTTTATATCCTGAGGCTTTGCTGAAGTTGCTTATCAGTTTCAGGAGTTTTTGGGCTGAGGCGATGGGGTCTTCTAGGTATACTATCATGTCGTCTGCAAATAGAGACAATTTGGCTTCCACCTTTCCAATTTAATACCCTTTATTTCTTTTTCTTGCCTGATTGCTCTGGCTAGAACTTCCAGTACTATATTGAATAGGAGTGGTGACAGAGGGCATCCTTGTCTAGTGCCGGATTTCAAAGGGAATGCTTCCAGTTTTTGCCCATTCAGTATGATATCGGCTGTTGGTTTGTCATAAATAGCTTTTATTACTTTGAGATACATTCCATCAATACCGAGTTTATTGAGGGTTTTTAGCATAAAGGGCTGTTGAATTTTGTCAAATGCCTTCTCTGCATCAATTGAGATAATCATGTGGTTTTTGGTTTTGGTTCTGTTTATGTGGTCAATTACGTTTATAGACTTGCGTATGTTGAACCAGCCTTGCATCCCCGGAATGAATCCTACTTGATCATGATGAATAAGTTTTTCGTTTTGCTGTTGCAATCGGCTTGCCAATATTTTATTGAAGATTTTTGCATTTATGTTCATCATGGATATTGGCCTGAAGTTTTCTTTTCTCATTGGGTCTCTGCCGGGTTTTGGTATCAGGATGATGTTGGTCTCGTAAAATGATTTGGGAAGGATTCCCTCTTTTTGGATTATTTGGAATAGTTTTAGAAGGAATGGTATCAGCTCCTCTTTGTGTGTCTGGTAGAATTCGGCGGTGAACCCATCTAGACCTGGGCTTTTTTTGTGTGGTAGGCTCTTAATTGCGGCCTCGACTTCTGACCTTGTTATTAGTCTATTCATAGTTTCAGCTTCCTCCTGGTTTAGGCTTGGGAGGACACAGGAGTCCAGGAATTTATCCATTTCTTCCTGGTTTACTAGTTTATGTGCATAGAGTTGTTTGTAATATTCTCTGATGATGGTTTGAATTTCTGTGGAATCTGTGGTGATTTCCCCTTTATCATTTTTTATTGCATCTATTTGGTTATTCTCTCTTTTATTTTTAATCTGGCTAGTGGGCTATTTTGTTGATCTTTTCAAAAAACCAGCTCTTGGATTTATTGATTTTTTGAAGGGTTTTTCGTGTCTCAATCTTCTTCAGTTCAGCTCTGATCTTAGTTATTTCTTGTCTTCTGCTGGGTTTTGAGTTTTTTTGATCTTGCTCCTCTAGCTCTTTCAATTTTGATGATAGGGTGTCAATTTTGGATCTCTCCATTCTTCTCATATGGGCACTTATTGCTATATACTTTCCTCTAGAGACTGCTTCAGATGTGTCCCAGAGATTCTGGAATGTTGTGTCTTCGTTCTTATTGGTTTCGAAGAACTTCTATATTTCTGTCTTCATTTCATTGTTTACCCAGTCAACATTCAAAAGCCAGTTGTTCAGTTTCCATGAAGCTTTGCGGTTCTGGGTTGGTTTCTGAATTCTGAGTTGTAACTTGATTGCACTATGGTCTGAGAGGCTGTTTGTTATGATTTCAGTTGTTTTGCATTTGCTGAGAAGTGCTTTACTTTCAGTTATGTGGTCAATTTTAGAGTAGGTGTGATGTGGTGCTGAGAAGAATGTATATTCTGTGGATTTGGAGTGGAGAGTTCTGTAAATGTCTATCAGGTTTGCTTGCTCCAGGTCCGAGTTCAAGCCCTGGATATCCTTGTTGATTTTCTGTCTGGTTGATCTGTCTAATATTGACAGTGGAGTGTTAAAGTCTCCCACTATTATTGTGTGGGAGTCTAAGTCTCTTTGTAAGTCATTAAGAACTTGCCTTATGTATCTGGGTGCTCCTGCATTGGGTCCATATATGTTTAGGGTCATTAGTTCTTGTATCGATCCTTTTATCATTACGTAATGGCCTTCTTTGTCTATTTTGATCTTTGTTGCTTTAAAGTCTATTTTATCAGAGATGAGAATTGCAACTCCTGCTTATTTTTGCTCTCCATCGGCTTGGTAAATCTTCCTCCATCCCTTTATTTTGAGCCTTTGTGTATCCTTGCATGTGAGATGGGTTTCCTGGATACAGCACACTGATGGGTTTTGGATTTTTATCCAATGTGCGAGTCTGTGTCTTTTGATTGGTGCATTTAGTCCACTTACATTTAGGGTTAATATTATTATGTGTGAATTTGATAATGCCATTTTGATGCTAAGTGGCTGTTTTGCCCGTTAGTTGTTGTAGATTCTTCATTATGTTGATGCTCTTTAGCATTTAGTGTGATTTTGGAATGGCTGGTACTGGTTGTTCCTTTCTATATGTGGTGCCTCTTTTAGGAGCTCTTGTAAAGCAGGCCTGGTGGTGACAAAATCTCTGAGTACTTGCTTGTTCGCAAAGGATTTTATTTTTCCTTCACTTCTGAAGCTCAGTTTGGCTGGATATGAAATTCGGGGTTGAAAGTTCTTTTCTTTAAGGATGTTGAATATTGGCCCCCACTCTCTTCTGGCTTGTAGTGTTTCTGCCGAGAGATCTGCTGTGAGTCTGATGGGCTTCCCTTTGTGGGTGACCCGACCTTTCTCTCTGGCTGCCCTTAGTATTTTCTCCTTTATTTCAACCTTGTTGAATCTGACGATTATGTGCCTTGGGGTTGCTCTTCTTGCGGAATATCTTTGTGGTGTTCTCTGTATTTCCTGCATTTGAGTGTTGGCCTGTCTTGCTAGGGTGGTTTCTTTTGTTTCTGTTTTTTTGTTTTGTTTTGTTTTCTTATTTCTTTATTTTACTTTAAGTTCTGGGTTACATGTACAGATCTTGCAGGATTGTTACACAAGTATAAGCATGCCATCTTGGTTTGCTGCCTCCCCCCGTCCCGTGTCACCTACATTAGGTATTTCTCCTAATGCTATCCCTCCCCAATCTCCCCACCCCCTGCTATCCCTCCTCTAGCTCCCCTACCACCTGACAGGCCCCAGTGTGTGATGTTTCCCTTTCTGTGTCTGTGTGTTCTCATTGTTCAACACCCACTTATGAGTGAGAACCTGCGGTGTTTGC